CATTCCAATCATCAAAATGTGTGCCCTTTTGTGGCAAACCGAGTGTGGCCTCATCACACTTGCTATTTACAAGAGGAGTGATAGTTGCGACAACGAGGTCAACCCGCTTCTATAAATCGAAAGGATACTGCGACCATACCAGAGGCCACAACATCTTGGTTTTCATATCTTCAAATGAATGGATAAAGTTGGATTGTGCGAAGAAATCCTTGGCTCACCGTCCTGCGACCCAAACCCATCCATACAAGCTTCCGTCTGTCATCTTACAGATGATGATTTCTGATGATTTCTTAAGCTACATTTTTTTGATCTTAATGAGGCATCCCACAAGTTGGTTGGTTACTTTATGCCAACTCTTTGATGTAGGTGAGCGAAGGTGATACAAGAAAGCAGGTTGATGTTGCCCCAGTCGTTTCCGTACATAACTAAACCAGTCTCTGGTATTATGTAATGTGTACATAAGAAGTTCAAGGTGTGTGAAGTGTAAGAGCCATAGTCCTCATACGAGGCCAACTCATATTTTCTTCGGCTTAAATGAAATATGGTGAATACATCAGAGATATCGAGGCCCCATAAACTGCAAAGCATACTATTTTGTATCCCTCTATATCGTGCCTAAATTAGTTGTATTCGGACGGATCAACTTTGTGTTCTGCCTGTCCTGTCTAAATAGATATTTCCCCGCATTGTACTTATTCATGTTGAAATGTAATTGGCTAGTCATCGTGGCGAATAATTGTTTTAACTAAAATATTCACTGATCTAACAAGTGTCTGATCCTCGTGGGCTTTGTAAGCTAAATGCAGAATTCTCATTCTCATCGAGTTAGTGAACCTTTCTTTGACCCGATATGCATTATTAGAGGATTATGCTAAAATCAACTATTTTCAACAAGCAAAAGCTTTTACTAACAGAAAATATAGGTCACATCGCCGTAGTTTTTTAGCTACTCTGTTTTTCTCCATTAACTTAAAAGCTAAATTTACAAAAATAAAATACGTGCAATACTAGACAGTAAAGAATATAAGATATGAAGACCAAGATGGTGTGGCCTCTCGTATTGTCGCAATCTCCTTTCGATTTATAGAAGTGGGTTGACCTCGTTTTCGCAACTTGGTCTTCATCACCTCTAAGAAATTGGGTGAATACATCTCATATTACTGATTTACTAGTAGTCACGAAAACAATACTTAATTCGAAAAATCAACTTGGTCTTGTTG